TTTTTTTTGGGTGATTGGAAGGTATCGAAGGTGTCACCGGCGGAAATTAGTGCACGTCGCGCCCAGGTAATAACTGTGGGAAAACTAATGTTTATCAACACATATGTTACAAAAGTGTGATATAATGTGATATACACAATTTATGATGGTTTGATTTAATGCAAATTTTACTATAATAGGGTGTGTCTACACCGCGCGTTAAAATTTGCATATAACATTAGCGCGTAACAAAGTTGTAATAAAGGAAAGAGTGGTATAAATACGGATCAGTGATTACTTGAAATCGATACCAGGAAGGGGGGAGGGTAAAAGAAAAGTTATATAACAATTTATTATTTAATAATTTATTAAAATACATAAGTTTGTCCAACTCCCTGTGGTCTTGTACGTGCTATCCTCGGAGGCAGAGCTACGTCACAAGACGTTCCACGTTGCTATGACGCGCACCACTGTACATGCATTTCTATGGGCTCTTTTCGCGCTGCTGTGGAACGCCGGTCGAGCCGGTGAAAATTCGAGAAAACAACACAAACTCAACTTTGAAGTAATCCTGAACAATCAAATTTATATATGTTACACACGTAGGGCTAATCTTGTTACACTGTTCAGGGGAGTCTCAACCACCATCGCAAAGTACCGTTTTCTGCGAGTTTTTGGCCTTTGTTTTCACCGTTGCCAAGCGGTGAAAATGCCCGGATGTCCGCCCCCGAGGATACGTACATTTTCTAAAACTCTGAGCAAGACGCAAAACCACTACATGTACGAGTTCGATGTCACCACGGAAAAGCTCGTAGTACTGTTTTTTTTTCCATTTGTAGAATGTTACTAATAACTTATTTTGTCCAAGAATGAAAATATTCATGTACTAGTATTGTATTAACCCTAGTATTGTATTGCCTACCGCCCTTGGCGAAACTATAATACTAGTATATTGAAAAGAAACAGCTATTTTCCATAGGCCTTTGCGCGCTTACAAGAACGCCAGCGCAGGGCGCGCTGTGGGCACTACTGATTCCAACCTTATGACGTCTTCTAATATCTTGTCACAAGTAGAGCCTGGCGTGTTTTAACTATGGACTGAATAAAAGGCACATTTTTCATATATAGTTATTATATTCAATAAAATTCCCACTGTAACACTTGCCTATCGCCATTGAAATGACAAGCAAAACTTACTTATTAATTTTTTTAATACCATGTATATTTTATGATAGAAGATAACAAAATTTACCAACTCAGTCACACCAGGTAATGTGCCATCACGTGTTGCCCTCGTGTGTAGCACTCCTTCGTAGCACGCGGTATATCCACGTGTGATGCAGTCGCAGACCATGGCAGGTGCACATTAGGCCTCGCAAAAAAAACAAAAAAAAAACATTGTTTTTGTTTTTAAATCTGGAAGGCGGCATTACCATGAAAGGTAGTAGGGGGTGGGGTGGAGAAACAACGTTATTGTTTTCCACTGTTACATGATCGCTTTATTTATTTACTTGGTAAACATTCCCATAACGCGAGTACGTGAATAATTAGCATTCAGGCCAGCTCGGAAGCAGTTTTACGGAGATAAATTGATGTTAATGACCCCCATCATTCTGGCACCTCTCTCCTTTTTAAGGTAAAGTCAAATTCTTTGGATTTAGCTAGGAAATTAAAATGGGTTAACACTGGGAATGAGTGTATCAGTTGTTAGAAGCAACTAAAGATTTATTATTTTTTTGTTTGCAATTGTGAAGTTTCTAGAATCAGAAGATTTACAAAAAAGTTTCACTAAATTTAAGATGACTGATGGATGAGCGCATTTCTCTCAAGCAGTCTAAGCTTTAGTCTCCTTTCTTTTAGTGTTACGTCATGGTCATTAGGCAATATTCTTCGGAGAGAAATAACCATGTTAATCGGAAAATTCATCAAAACAATTTGGGCCTCTAGAAGGGGACTCAAGGAGAGCATAGTCTAATAGTTTGGTTAAAGTATAAATATTTTTTTCTGTTTGTTATTGTTATGTTGGTGCTGTGATTTTTCTTGTAAATGACTTGTAAGCATTTTCCGTTTCAAATGCGAATTATTATTATTTTTATTATTATGACCAAATCACAGAACCCTGTAAAATAAAGATTTTCTCTTCCAATAACAAGTTTCCAAGATCTGGGTCCTAGCACCATATTTCAAAAACACTACGTATTTAAAAGTCAGTTTGTCACGAATAGACTGGAAACAAATGGCTAAACTTTTGCGTAAAAATCACGTTTTTTCGCACATCAGTGCACATGTATCGACGGAGCTTATCATATGAAAGTGTATGGAACAAAGCCCCAATTAGACCCTTCAAATATTTCAGGGGTCAACAGGCCGTGTTTTTTTTCGTTTTCAAGCTGAAACAATTTTACTACAGGGACGGAGCAGTCTACTGGCACAGGAAAACAATTAAAAAAGTACTTTGTTTCCATTGCCAGGATTTGCTAATGACGCATGACGTCATGTGAACCTTGCTGCACATGTATGCTGCTGCCTCTTTTCTCGCGCACATAGTAAGTTGCAGTCGCGGTTTTTGTAGCTCTAAAAACAGGAATCAAACTTGTTTTTTTCGAGTAAATAAGCGTAAGCGAAGACGGATTGAAAGGAAAAATAGACAACGACGATAACACTTTAAACAAAAGAAACAAAATAAATGAATCTGGATTAAAACTCGTCCTCTCCCTTCCCTACCTTTCCCTACAATACTCATGATATGACTGAGCACACATTTTGCAGATTTAATCAATAAATCAACAGAGGGCGCTGTATGTTGACCAGAAACATGTTGAGTTTACCATGGATGTACTAAATTGTAAACGGTATGAAATATTACATTTTTCACGCGATGTACACACCCCTTTTAATGACGGCAAGACTCATCTAATTACTTTGATCTGGTTTTATCATGTTTTATCTGAATGCTTATTGGTAAGACAAAGGTTTGAAGAGGATTTTAACGCATTATAACACCAAAAGTAAACTTTCTCGAGTGCCTTTTTAATCCTCTTAACTAAGTGGTTCATCCATCCATCTCAGCAACAACAACCTGCCGTTTGTCTCCGTGGTTAACACCATAACTTCCATTTCCTGTTCACAAACGAAAACAAACGAGTGAAACAGTTTTAAATCAGAATCACAGTAAATGCTAAAACAACACTACCCACAATAACAGGATCGATTAAAGTGTTAAAGATTGGGGATCGGTTTCCCATTTACCTGAACAAATTCTGCACGTCCAGTCCCCTTCAGGTACAGTGTTGGCAGACAACCCAACGCAAGTATAATGAAACCAAACAACTGGACAATCCTTCCCATCGCACGCGATCATCTCCATAGTTTCAGTACCACAGCAATAACAGTATTCGTCGTCTTCTAAAATTTCATCCTCAACACTTTTAAAATTATTACTAACTGTATGCGAAAGAAAAGTTTCGCCGCACTCGGTATAACGTGTTGACATCGCCGCCATTTTGAAATTGTGTTTATTTGTTGC